GAGGTGCAGAGAAGAGCAACAAAAATGATTAGGGGTATGGAACAACTTCCATATGAGGAAAAATTAAGAAGACTGGACTGTTCATCTTAGGAAAGAGGCGACTAAGGGGGAGGCTATGACAGAGGGCTATAAAATCATGAATAGTGTGAAGAAAGTGACTAAGGAAGTGTTATTTACCCCTTCACATAACACACGACCCAGGGGTCACCCAATGAAATGAATAAGTAGCCATAGGCTCTGCACCCACTGGCAGCTCCCCGCCCCAGCTCACCTCCGCCTCTTCCCCTGAGCGCACTGCCGCATCCTGATTCTCCCCCCTCCCTCCCAGCACTTGGGGGAGGAGGCGGGGCCAGGGTGGGGATTTGGGGAGCGGTCCAATAGGGGCAGGGAGGGGCAGAATTAGGGCGGGGACTTTGGGGCAAGGGTGAAGTCGGGGCGGGGGCAGGGCCGGGGGCGCGAGCACCCACTGGCGCAGAAAAAAGTTGGCGCCTGTGTAGTCAGCAGGTTTAAAACAAACAAAAGGAAATACTTCTTCACATAGTGCACTGTCAACCCATGGAGCTCATTGCCAGGGGATGTTGTGAAGGCCAAAAGTATAAATGGGTTCAAAAAAGAATTAGATAAGTTCATGGAGGATAGGTCCATCAGTGACCCAGTATGGCCATTCTTATGTTCTTGTCAGTGATTGCTGTAGGCTTTTCTTGTAGTTGCTTTGTGGTAAGTGTTGCACAGATATAATGGCCACCTACTGCAGGTGTGTTGTGTTCTTCTGCTATAGAGTACACTCTGGGGGAGGACACACACACACTTTTAATCTCCATAGAGCTTGTCAGCACAGATCCCAGTTACTCATGCTGTGTGCTGGCATCACATTGTTTAAAAGTGCAGTTGTGTTGTAATTAGTGCCAACAACACAGGAGATATTCCTATTTACAAAATTCCTATTTACAAATATTTATTTTAGTTCTTTTTAAAAGATGCCCATTCAGTGTCCTAAGTGCATGTGCCCATATTAAGACATGGCAATAATTTAGGACCAGTATCCAAGAGATTGAACCCTCCTAATGAAAGTTCCACTGTCTCCATCTACCTGATCCCCTCTCCCCAGGCCCCAGAAAAGCCAAAGACCAGTCTGGCAGCAAGACCAGGGGGACCAACAAATTCAGGCTTTGGCAAACTGAAGCAGGAAGAGTTGCACAGTTGAGGACCCTCACTGAGAACAACCTGCCACCTGCACCCTCATAATGAAACCAGAGGTTACTAACTGAAATGCTTCAGATGATCTGAAGTGCTGGAGGCACATCACACAAGGCGAGTTGCAGTCTCTGACTACCTAGAGTTGGTAGACAGACAAGCAGGCTCCAGTCCACTTAAAGCTCTATGGGCATGATCAAAAGCCCACTGAAGTCAATGGGAATCTTTCCACTAACGTCAGTGGGCTTTGGATCAGGGCTTATACAAAACTCCATGACCTGTGTTGCGCAGGTCAAGCTAGATGATCATAATGGTCTCTTCTGGCCTGAAAGGCTCTGAATCTATAAACAATTGATAATTTTTTCTTGAGAAATACGAAGAATATTTTTGTTACTAGATGAGATTGTTTAAATATTTAAAACAAGTCGCCTCCTTCAGTGTATTTAAGCATGCATGGATGGCAGTGGGACAGAACCTCTGATCGAGCATACGATTAAATGGATTTTTCCCAAACAGTATTCATAAAACATGAAGATTAAAACATTTGATGTGCATCATGTACTTGTGCGGCTGGAATAAAAATGATGCACAGCATGCTGATATTAAGAAACAGCTGCCTCCAAAGTGTACTTAAGAGGTATTTAATGAAGAGGCCAATTATCTATTGGTGATTTCACATCCAGCCTGTGCTGTAACTACCATAGCTCCAGAGGTCATGTCTTAGTCCTGTCTTGTTTCCCATAAAATGTCTGCTCTGGGGTATTTATCTAACATTATTCATCCACAGCAACCTTTGTCAGATGCCTGTTGGTAAGTCTTCATAAGTAATGGGCTTTTTCCTTTGAGCACTGTATTGTTTTGGTCTCTTCTGAGGATGCACCAAGAAAACATTGAGTTGCTCTGATAAATAACTAGGAAAATGTCGGGAGAGAAATCTATTGAGAGCAAGCTGTCATACTTTGAAGGATTTTGTGCATAAAAAATGTCACATATCCCTCAGGTCTCCTTGGGCTTTATTAGCATGATGTTTAGAAGGCACCAAAAATGAGTAGATTTAGGGGTGGGTATATTTTTCAGCAACAACAACCCCTTACTTGTCACTTACCTGGAAAAGCACGTGGCCTGATGGTAAGAAGACTAGGGTTCTGATTTTCCATCTTCCCACCTTGTGTAGTCCTTTATACATTTGCAGAATGCAAAGAGGGTACAAAAGACTACCAAATCAGAATGGTTGTATTTTACACTGGTTTTGCACTCTTTTTGCACAGGTTGAAGTGATTATACAAGGTTCAAGGCAGTGTAGAATCTCTCAGGAACCTTTAGTGTAGAAGAGCACATATTCTGATCCCAGCTGAACCACTGACTCACCTTGGACAAATTTCTTGACCTCCTTGTTTCTCAGTGAAATCCAGCTAAAAAATTAGAAGGGCCTAACCAAAAACCTGTTGCTTTTCAAAGAAGAGAACTCCTCCAAAATGTCAGCGAGCAGCCCTTCCGAAAGCAATAACATGACAACATTTCTGAAGAGCCCATTTGTGTGTGTGACGGAAGTAGCTGGCAGAAGCTCAAGATTACTATTCTTTCCAACGTGGTAGCGCCAAAAGGTCCCAGGATTGGGTCCCCATTGTGCTGTGTGCTATGCAAATAAAGAACAAGACAGTCCCTGCCCGCAAGAGCTTGCAAAGTAGAAAATGAAACCCCAACCCAGGCAGGTGGTGGGGAAAGGGTGATAGCACACAAGGGCAAGCAGAGCAATTACGGTGATGGAAGGCAAACAGCATCTTTCCTTCATTTTTGACTTAGTGATTCAAATAATTGTTTTGTTTACATTACCAAAAATATTGTTGTAAGGGTTTTTTTTTGAGGGATGAGCACTCAGGGTTGAAGTGGGGAAGAGGAAGGGATTTCTGAAGTAAGAGAGGAAGGTAAATAAAAGAAGGAAAGCAGAGAGGAGGGGGGAGGGGAGAAGCATAAGAGAAAGGCAGTTGCTATGGTTGATGAGGGGGAGGGATGAGGAGCTATCAACAGCCAATTGCAATACAGCAAATGAAAAAAAAATTCTGGCCATGATTCTCCAGGGCATAAAGTGACCTTAACCACTGGGGCACCCAACCCAACCAGAATCCAGGTTTCAGAGGTGAATTGATGTCACCAGGCTGTGAAGACTCCTCCCGCTATCTGCTGCTACTTCCTTGTGGAGGACTGCAAGAGAGGCAGAGGGCTTGGTGCTCTGGTGGGTCTCTCAGGGTGCAGGACTGGGCTGGAAGGCCCTGGTTTACCCTCTCAACTCTAGTTGGTATGGGTTGTTTTGGGGAAAGAGCTCAGAGGCTCTGGTAAGGGCCATCTGAACATGTCATTAGTCTGCAAACAATATTCTTCAGATTACAAATCCCTGTTTCCATTTTGCATTACTGAATTTGCATGCAAACAACTTGGCTAGCACGTGCCATTTTAGTTTTACAGTAGTCATAAAATCAATGACTCTTGATTTTTAGCTTACAATGTTTACACCAAAAAAGATGTCCTACAGCTGTGTTCTTGACCCCTCTGACTATCTAATCCCTGCTTTATCACCATCTCAGCTCTCTGTTTGACATTAAACATCATGTTTATATTGATGACACCAAACTTTTTCCCATCCATCCTTTGTCCCTGCCAACATCTCTCTTTGTCATATATTCCTTAGTGCTTGGTTCCACTCAAATTTTCTCCACCCTATTGTCTCCAAGTCTGGTTCCTTCTGTTAGACTAGAGTAAATGCCCTAATGCTCCCCAATTTCTTCCATCTACCTCCTTGACTCTGATCTCTCCTTATCAGATGTACCAGAAATGATCCATCAATGTTTATTTTTCCATCTTACCAACAGTATCTGCAGGACCTCCTATAGCTGGACCTGGATTCATAATATTATTCATACCTGTCCTTATCTTCACTTTCTGTCTGCCCACTTCCTTAATCCATGCACTCCCAACCTCCCACTTTGATTACTACAACTCCCTCTGGGCTGGTCTCCTCGCCAAATTTCAGCTTGCCCAAGAACGCTGTGACAACCTGTATTCCATCAAGAACTCACAAGCATAACCTCATTACCCTGATCCTTATTTATCTTCACTGACCCTATTGCCTCCTCAGACCTGACCTTACCAACTCCCTTTTCCTCTCCTCCATTCATTGAACTGGTTATGGGCAAAGCTTAGTCCTCACTGTGAGTCTCTGACAGTGGCAGTGCCTTTAGCCACATCCATCTGTCTGATGGAAAAGCCTTGTCCTGAACTTAGTTCCAGTGAGTCCCCAGCCATTTCAAATCCTGCCTCAATATCCATCTCTTCTCTTTTCTGCTTACCGGGGAGGCCGCTGGCTCAGTGGCTAAGGCAAAGAGTTGGGCATCAGAAGGCCTGGATTCTGCTCCCAGCCTGGCCACTGATTTGTTGGATGATCTTGGGCAAGCTAAAGAATTACTTCTGTTTCCCCAGCTGTAAAATGAGAATAATGAAACAAAGCGCTTTGAGAAATATAGATTAAAAGTGCAAGGTGCAAGCACCTTATTAATATTGTAGTTATTCACTTTGATCCCCTACCTCCACCTTTCACCATACTCTTATGTGCTCATCATTTTCAGTTTTATAATCCCTTCTGTGTGTTCAATATTTTTGTGCAAATGATGGCTTTTGCAGCAGACTGAAACTTGTTACCCTTCTTGTAGGAAAGACTTGGTACCAAAAAAGAGCATTCTAATTGGTACGACGCATGAAGGACTTGTTTGCCACTCAGGTATAATAACATTGCCTTTCTTTCCTTGTTTTAGGGAGTGCTGCCGATTTTTTGGAGACAATGGCTTGACTATGAAGGTGTTTTTTACCAAGGCAGCACCCTTTGGTGTTCTTTGGACACTCACAAACTACCTGTACTTACATGCAATAAAGAAAATAAACACTACGGATGTCTCCGTGTTGTTCTGCTGCAACAAAGCTTTTGTGTTCTTGCTTTCATGGATCGTTCTCAGGGACAGGTTCATGGGAGTGAGGGTAAGTGTCTCCTTATCTCTCTGTCTCCCTCCCTCCTTCGCTTTAACCTTTTTCCAATTGGCTCATTTAGATCAGCATCTGACACTACTAACAGCAGGTTTCTCTGATCTTTTAAAGCGGTGAAGTCATGAGATGAGTCAGCATAATATCCTTACAAGGCTTGCAGTCCTCCAGCCCCGGAGTCTGTGCAGAAATGCATTACAAATCAAATCAGCACTGAGAACCATCCCTGTGTGGATCTCTCTCAACACTGCAGCCTCCTCTTCCTAGAACTTGCTCTCTTTCCTCACTGTTCCTTCCAAAGGAGATAACTTATCCCAGTCTGTGACATGAAGGATAACTGGTATCCCCATGTGGTCATGAACATTTATCATCCTTTTCCCGTTCTCTTTCGATTAGAAAGGACTGAGCCTATGGTACTTAGAAATTTTTTTTTAACTGTGCATTTCTACGGGTGCTTTACATGTCCTTGTGCATTTTTTGTCCATATTCTGTGAATTCATTGGTGCAGCTCATATCTGCATATGACACAAGCCCTGTGGGATTGGAGTATTAAGTTCTGTGTCATACCTGGTTGTGGATAGCAACTGATATAAACACAGATGTGGCTAATTCAGCTCCTATTTTTCAAGTATCTGTTTTTAAAAAGGTTTGTTTCTGTGTGGAAGTGCGGGGGGGGGGAGAGAGAGAAATGCCCCTGTAGTGTGCTCAGCAATCCATTCCATGACTGCACAGTTTGGGCTAGAATTCAGTGAGATCTTGTGTACTAATACTACCTAACACAGTCTGTGTAAGTCACTCTGGCAGGTGAAGAGCTAGAGAGAACTATCGGGTCATACTTTGTGTCCAACAGGCTAGATAGAGGGGGGGAATTCTGGGGCAGAAGATTACTGAGTGGGGCACTGTGGAGGTTGGAACTTGTCAACACAGATCCAATAAAGCACAACTCCAATAAATTCTCTGTTAGATTTTCTGCTTAATTCTGTGGGCCCATAGGTGGGAGACAGAGATTTCCCTGCAGCCTGCCCAACCTCTGCATAGACCCTGCAGTCACACAGAACCCTCTGTTTGGTCCAAGAGGTGCCACCAACGCAGCTTACCCCTTCCATGGAAAAGATGGAGGAGGGTGCCCACAATGCATAGCTTTGAGGGACAATCTGATCCAGAGTTCCCTTTGCAGTTGTTAGAATTAAGTCCTGTCTCCCTTATGCCCTTGGAGAACATTCCAGCCCTTAGAACCAAGAGGCAGCTTCTCACATTCCCCTCCGACAGCAGAGGCAGCACCAATCAGCAGTTGGCATTCATCAGCATTCCCCAAAAGTGACACGGTGTGAGGTCTGTGGCTCCTGTAGTGGGGCTGAAAGCAATTACAGTGTGAAGACACCAGCGATTTACTCCTGCCCCATTACACCAGCTGAAGTGGAGATGAGGAGTCAGCTCTCTTCTCGGTAAGCCTGGGCAATATTTCTAGTTTGTTTTCAGGGAGATTTTAAACCCCAGGATACGCAGAGATTAAAAATTAACTTTAATAGAAGAATTTATTTCTGTGTGATTGAAAATCTTGAGCCACATTGTTGTTGTTGCAGCCTGGCCCTGAGGCTACAATAGGGAAAATTACAAAAGGTACCAGCAAAGGAGTACCTTCCTTGCCCTTCCAGCTGTTGTCTGCACATTAATCTTTCTGACTGACTTGACACTGAACTTCTTTTAACTGGGGGGGGAAGGGGGTTGAGTAACAATAAGGGAGCCTCTGTAGGAGAGCTGTAGTGATTTTAGGGGGTGACTGTAATGCTGGTTGTGTTGTCTTTTGGATAAGAGGAAAAAACAATCAGGGGCTCTAGCCTTCCCATGGGACTGTTAGTAAGTACCCCATTGTCCTGGTCAATTTCTAGTGGAAAACATTTACATCCTTCCCTCTTTAATCCTCCTGCATTTGCAGCTGGAGATGGTATTCCTAGTGACTTTCCAAAGCAGTGTATAGTGTTGCTGTACTCTGTTAAACAACTGATGTGTTGCACCCATTTAGGTGGCTGCATTTCTATGGTGAGTGATGCAAAGATTGTAAACATGTAATCACACACACGGGCAAGAGAGATGGTGTGTTGGCAGAATGCTTTGTTATCCTGCTGGACGAAAGGCACTGTATAAATGGAAGATACTGGTAATGATGCATTCATGTCAGAAGGATCGTATCTGGATTCCTAGGCTCAGATCTGGGGTTTTGGCTTGATTGAGTACAGAGCTAATGACTGAAGATTGGATCCAGGTCTGAACTTTCCCCCATTTCAAAAGAGGAAAGGGGGTGAAGTGATGAATGGGCTGGATCTAGGGTTTGGTCTGAAGCATCTTTAATTATTCTTTATTAATTTTTAATATTGTCTTGGGATAAGCCAACTTGTCAGCAAACCAGTAGCAAATAAATGGAGACATGGTTCTCCAATAGTCCCTGATAAGGAAATAGTGCTTTACAACCATAGGTATGCCAAGGTATCTCCACCTGTCATTGACGGCATGTGGTACTAGAGGGAGGAACAACATGGCAAGGAAGGTTATATATCATGGAGAGGTGCTGTACCCCTTCCAAACTTCAGTCCTCCACAATGGTGCCTGGCACTAATCAAAGATTTAGTCCAAGTGGTTTTCACGAGGAACTGTCTCCCATTTGTGCTGAAGGAGAGTGGCGTGCTACATTCTCCTCACCCAGCTATTAACTGGCAAAGTGCTAGAGGATGAGGGAGAACTTTCTGGGATACTTGAACTTCTTGGATATTAACTTCTTGTCTGAGTAATGACAAATGTATTGCAGGTGTGGGATGTATTTTCTTTCCCCTGGAAAATGGGGCAGAAAGGACAGGCTCTTCCTTGACTCCTTCGTATCTTTCATGGGGATTAGCAATGGCTCCTCCAGGGGAGGGCTTGGGCATTTTGGTGGAGGGAAGATGCTGCAATGGGATTTTGTTCTTTCTTTTCACTGCGTATTGAGTAGCAAGTGTGCTAGGGTACTTCCCTTTATGACGGGGGATTTGAATGGAGTCTCCTCCTCTTTCCTTGTTTCATGGCTGGCCACCTTTTCGTCTTTCTGTTCCTTCTCTTTTTTGTAAGGTCCTGAGTCATGGTGGAGCTGATCTATTCAGGTACAAGGACAAACACCACGTGTTTGGAATTTAATTTGGGGGTGAACTTCTAAAATGGTGGAGCTTTCTAAAATCAGGAGCTAAGTGTTCGGAGTCACAGTTAATTGTTAGTTGTTATTTACCTCGAGGCCAGGGTCCCACTGCACTAGGCACCCTACAAATATATAAACCCTGCCCCCAAAGAGTTTATAATTAGGGCTCCGTGTCTGTCACGGAACTCATGGATTCCGTGACTTTCTGCAACCTCTGACTTCTGCAGCGGCCAGTGCAGCTGGCCCCGGGGACTGCCCGAGCAGCAGTCCCCGGGGCGGCCAGAGCAGCCGCTGTTCCAGCCGCCCCTGGCAGCTAGTGCCGCTGGCCCTGCCCCTCCCAGCAGCGACCCCCGGGGCACCCCTCAGGAGTGACCCCCCCCGTGGCTCACACCCCGCAGCAGCTGCTCCCCATGGCACACCACCCCCAAGCAGTGGCTCTCTGTGACACACCCCCTGCAGCAGCAGCCCCTCGGGGCGCCCCCCGCAGCAGTGGCTGCCCCAAGATTTAGTCAGGGGTATTTATAGTATAAGTCACAGACAGGGCCATGACTTTGACTAAAAATACCCATGATTAAATGGTAGCCTTATTTATAATCTACTGCTGATGGCTGCACTAGTATTTCAGATTCTGTAAGGCAGCGAAGCCTCAAGAAATAGTTAAAATCAGATATTGAGGGCTCAGTTCTCCACCATGTCCAAGCTCAGACACAGTAGAGGTGGAAGAGGTGCAGGGAGCTGGCCTTAGATACCTAGTCTGTGTTAATCAGCCTCAATGGAATTTAGAGCAGCCTGGGGTCTGCTCTAACTTACACCAGTAGAGAAGCAGGATAGCAGAATTCTGCTCAACCAGATCCCTTCCTCCACCCTATGCCAGGGATGGAACTGAAGCCGGTGGCAGAGGAGTTGCCTTCTCCAGCCCTACACAGTGGAGAGTTCCCTTATGTGAATCCATTCACCTTGTGCTGCCTGGGCCTCCAGCCTCCTGAGTATGTGTGTGCGCGCATGTGTGTGAGCACGTCTGCATGCTGCTACACTCCAGAGTAGGGGAAGATGGTCCCTGACTTAGTGAGTAAGGGCCAGAGACTTAAAGGTATTTCGGTGTCTAAAGATGCAGATAGGCATCCAGTGGGAGTTATGTGCCTAGGTGCTTTTGACAATCGTTAGGTGCCCCAGTACCTTGAAAAATCTGGCGTCCTGTATGCGTCTGCACTCCAGCATGGAGGATGTTCTTTTGACCTCCCACTTGCTTATAAAGAAACTTAAGCTACTCAATACAGCTAGCTTTAGCCCATAGCTAGAACCTCCATGTCCTCCCTGTTTCGATAGCAGCAAAGATGGTGATCAGTCAGGTGCTGCAGGCAAGTAACTTCCTCCAAGGCTAAAACCAACACCACTCTGTGAACTGGGAGGTGTTTCAGAGCAAGCAACTTCAGTGGCCTCAGAAATGTTGCGTAACACATCACTGGGAGCCTGGAAGTCTTCAGTTAAGATTCAGCATTCATGTAGCAAGTTATCAGCTTTATTGAATATATGCCCTCTGGTTGGACAGAACTAACTACAACTTCCAAAAGTCCTGTCTGAGCATGCACTGGGGCTTGTGAGAAACCTCACATGGGTTCCTCACTCTGCTTTGGTTGTGCCAAAGTTCTGGTCAAGAACAGAGGGGGGTTCTTCCCTGGACATTACAAGGAACAAGAGATCCAAATCTGGCAAGCCTTTCTAGTTCATTAACAAACTGATGCTTATTCTAGAATAACTTTTGAGGGCTACACTGTAGACTTTATTTGCTCCAGAATAATTAATGATCTTTCACTTTATACACACACACACACACACACACACACACACTTTATACTTCTGTCCTTTTCACTTTATTTTGCCACAGCACGATTGTCCGAATAGGGCAGGAGATATCTTACTTCCTTAACACAAGTTGGTCCAATGAAAGATATTACCTCATCAACCTTGTCTTCCTTAACACAGGACAGATATCTACAGAGGAAATGACTACCTTCAGAATTCCCTCCTAGAGCACCATTCCCCTACACTGGGTTTCATTTTCATCACATAGGGTGTTAGGAAACGTATAAATATCTGCAGCCCAGAAGCTATGGTGAGCCAGGAGTTCAAGCAGAATGTAACAACATACTTCTTAGGCTGAAAAGCTTTCAGAGAAAATGTGTGTAACATTGATAGGCAGACTAAAGTTTAATCCAAGACCATATCTGGCATTCATGACATGCTTGATAAAGAGGCTGGAACCTCTGCAAGAGAAAAATCACTAGAAGTCTGGATTTAGTTGCTTTAGACTTTGACATCCGTGTTCCCTTTTCATGCTACAATCAATAAACTAGTCCAGTATTCAAGAGAAGTAGCCAAGTGCTAAGTCTGCATAAGTGTTACTGTATATCTAAGCATGCCATGTCAGTGTGACTTGAATCTGGAAACGCACACCAAAAATCCGAGAGTGCCTCCCTCTCCTGGGAGGCTCTGCCTACTGAAATTAGTAGCAAATTGATCATTCTTTCAGTTCATAAATGCACTTTTGGAATTCTAGTCCTGCAGAATTGCTGTTCTTGCTAGTGCAAAGTCAGCTGTGGCATTTTTTTTATCACGTTCCTTTAAGTCAATATGTGTTCTGCAGCTAAATCACTGCAGGTTTGGATCTCTCAAGTTAAGGAGGGTTAGGCTGGGTTAGGGGCTGGAAGACCTTCAAGGATAAAACAGATGCTACAAGAAGTGCTGAGTCTTGGGGTGTCTCTCTTCTTTCTGAGGCACTATAAAACCAGTGCCTTAGCATTGGTGGTATTAAAGGGCATTGTATTGCTGAAGGTGCTATCTTTCAAATGAGATATTGAGACATAAACCTAGCATCCTGATCACCTGTATTCATTACAAACCCATAAGCTTTTTTCTTTCCTCAAGCATCGGTGTGTTAACATGGATAGCATTGTCAGTTCTGCCTACTATGCAGTTTCAGCGAAATGCAGTACTTTTCCCTTCCTGGATTTAAAAATTTTTTTTAGAGTTTTAGTGCACTATTAAACACAGGTGCCATCTTTCACTTCAGAGGTGGATACACTTCAATTGTGGCAAAAGTTATCCTGGTATATTCGATAGAAATGGGTGTGAGTTAAAACCCCATATCTGAGTACCCCCAAAATTTCGTAATGTGTGGATCCAGATCTCACCTTTGCAGCTCAGACCCCTCTCAGCTTTAATTAGTTTGTAAATCCTTTTGGTATCCTCCAGGATGAAAGAGGCTATATGAATTAGGCTCTTTTAACTTTATGTAATTTGAGCTCAATCCTGCATCATAGTGCTATAATGATACTCAAGCAGTTCAATCTATTTACCTTAACAAAGAGAAGGTTAAGGGGCAAGTATCTACACGGGGAACAAATATTTGATAATGGGCTCTTCAATCTAGCAGACAAAGGAAAAACAAGATCCAATGACTGGAAGCTGAAGCTAGGCAAATTCAGACTGGAAATTAGGCATAAATTTTTAACATGGTAATTAACTATTCGAACAGTTTACCAAGGTTTGTGGTATTCTCTGTCACTGGCAATTTGTAAATCATGATTGGATGTTTTTCTAAAAGATTTGCTCTAGTTCAAACAGGAATTATTGAGGGAAGTTCTATGGCCTGTGCTCTGCAGGTCAGACTAGATGATCACAGTGATCCCTTCTGGCTTTAGAGTCTATGGGTATGTCTATACTTACGCGGTAGTTCGACAGCTGGCAATCGAACTTCCGGGTTCGATTTATCGCGTCTGGTCTGGACGCGATAAATCGATCCCGGAAGTGCTCGCCGTCGACTGTGGTACTCCAGCTCGGCGAGAGGAGTACCACGGAGTCGACGGGGGAGCCTGCCTGCCGCGTGTGGACCGCGTCTGAACCGCGGTAAGTTCGAACTAAGGTATGTCGACTTCAGCTACGTTATTCACGTAGCTGAAGTTGCGTACCTTAGTTCGAATTGGGGGGTTAGTGTAGACCAGGCCTATGAATCCTGCGAAGTGCTGAGCTCTCTCAACTCCTATTGTAGTCAGCAACTTGTCAGATCAAACCCCATCTCATTAGCATTTCTAATATTGAACATTAATTTTAGCTAAATAAAGGTCCCAGCTCTATACAGAATAGATACAATTTTCAAATGTTTCAGTCTCTTCTGATTTTGTCCTTTGCTCTGCTCATACGACTCTAACTCACTAAAGAAACACTAGCAAAATTGTACATTCATGCACACAAGAGTAACTGTGCAGCTAGTAGCATACCCATATATAGAAACAGGTTGCATGCTTGATTACTTGTGCACGTACACCTTTGCAGGTGCAACCTAGAACCTTAGTTTTAAAATTTGGCCCTAAGTCTGTAAACTGCCTCCATCCAGCCTGCCTCCATCCAGCTGTAGTATGTCAGATTAGTTAGTATTTAAGCTTTTCAGCTCTCTCTTGTAGCCTAAATTCTATTATATTCTCTAAGGCTGTAGATTTTTGGACTCTGGAAAAAACTGATAGGTTCACCTGCCTGAAAGTTGTATAACCTTATTACAGGGATCCCCTACTTATGGTTTAATAGGATGGGTTATTCTAATTACGTCACAAAGAAAGCAAAGAATGTGGTGCCTCTCACCAAAACCACCACTGGCATTAACTGGCCTCCTTGTCGGTAGTGCTGGCAGAGGCATACGATTGAATGGGCTTGGAGATTGAATCCTTCCACCCCCTAGAAGGGCACACCTCCAAACAGTGTTGAGGAGTGCTGGCGGGGCAGTGTGGCGAGACCTACACTGCCATGAGCCAGGTTGTGCCTATTGTGTAGAAAGAGAAATTTACCCTCAAGGGCAGTCAGTCCAGCATCTTCAATGAGCAACTAAAGTTCCTCGAGCAAAAATAGCATTCAGATTTTGATGCTCTGAGGAGTGACATTACAGCATTTACCTGGCTGATACATAAAATCTCCCTTTCCTTTCTAAATTGAACATGTATGATATGCTGGTCTCTCCCTGGTTTTCCAGCCACTCCTTTTAGAATATACAAGCAAGATCTTGGGGGAGTGAAACTAATGAAATCTCCAGGATAAACAGGGATTCTCCTATTTTTATAGTAACTTCTTTCCATCCCTTTGCTTCAAATGCCCGGGATAGCTGAGACACTGTGCTGACTTTCTTCCCCGAGGGATCCGTATGAGTAGTCTATGAAGCAGGAGACATCCTGCTCTCCCCACTCTACTGTGCCTACTGATCAGCACTGTCAATACTAAATATGCAGCACACAACCAATTTTCTCAGCTAAGCTCTTCTCCCAAATCAATGTATACTCTATGCTCATAGGGTAGAATTTTCAAAAGCACTCAAGTGATTTAGGAGCCCAAGTGCTACTGAAAGTCAATAGAAAATGTGCTCATGGGTCCTTTAGGCACTTCTGAAAATCCCACTCAAAATGTAAACATTCTTCAGAGTCATAAAGTCTCTCCCCCCCTTTACATCTGAATAAACTCACTGGCTGACCTGTAAAATACTCAGATATTCTTTATTTTACTGTTTTTTTCAATAAGCCCCTGGATTTTAGTTCATTCCTTCAAGCACTAGGAAATTCAAAGTCATGTATTATTGTCAAACACCTGCTGCAGGGGCCACCTGATGTCAAGACTCAGTGACAGAGCTGAAATTCCCTCTTCAGGTTTATCAGGAGACAATGCTCTGAAGAGCACCTCCTCTTTGGCCAGTTGCTCTGAGATCTGACACAGTCTCTTCTTCACCGTTCCTTGCATGCAGTTTCTCAACCAACTGGTGGGGCTTGCATATTCTCTTAACACATTAGCAGACTGCTCTGCTGTCTATGGTTGCTCTTTTCTCATCAGTAAGGCTTGAAGTAGATGGCACAGAAATGTTGGGCTCTCATTCAGAATGGCTCTTAAATATTTCAGTCACCAGGGGCTGTTAAATAACACTTCCTTCGTTTGTTTGCTTCCTACCAGATTGTGGCTGCTATACTTGCTATTGCAGGGATAGTCATGATGACCTATGCTGATGGATTCCACAGTCATTCAGTTATTGGAATAGCACTTGTTGTGGGATCTGCCTCAATGTCTGCTCTTTATAAGGTAAATACACACAAACCTCTTCGGGCTAAAAAATGTTGACCACCTCGTATTAATGAGCTGGTCCCAACTTACCACCAAATACTGCCTCTCCTATGCTTTATGCAGGGCAACATTGCATGCTCTTTTTATGGATACCTGCTATAAGCATAAAGACCAGTTTAACATTGGAGAGAAATATTTATTTACGTTGGCATCATCTGTCCCTATTTAAGGAGCAATAAGTGTCTACTTTCTGGGGGGTGGGGGGGGGGGAGAGGGAGGGAATAACTCCCACCAAAGAATCCATCTGCTCCAATGCACTTCAGCAGGAGCTGCAGGTGCTCAGCACCTCTCAGGATCAGGCACCTTTCATTTAGGGGCCAAATGTTAGCAATCCAAGTCTGAAAATTGTGTCCAAAAGCTTTTTCAAGCTCTTGGCTTTTAAAGTGTCGCCGTACCCGTCTGACTCAGACCCTGATTCAGCAATGTACATAGATCTGTGCTAACTTTAAGCATTGATTTTTGTGGGAATAGTACATGCTTAAAATTAAGGGGCTACTTACGTATTTTGCTGAATTGGGTCATCAGTCTGGGGGCGGGGAAAGCTTCAGCTCAGGTTTCACCTTCTATGAGGTTACTATAAGTTCGCCAAAGATTGCAAGAGGCCTCCAGTAAAAAAAGGGAAGTCGAGCCCAGATGCTGTAGCTCTAATGTAAACAACAACCATACGAACATTTTTAAAACCCCTAAACTTGAATCAGTCTGTCTTTAGCCCTCAGAAAGGAGGAGTGACCGGGCTAATGCTACTTTTGGGGGCTGTATTTGCTTTTGTTTCTAGGATTTTAATCAGTTTTTCTTTTGTTCAGAACAAGGAGCATGGTGTGATTACTGTCAGAAATTACAGGCATGACTGGAAATTAAAGTCCACTCCCTCCTAGTCAGTTCAGGCAGAACAGAATTGATTTTCTGCCTTGTTTATTGGTGATAAAAGGGGCATATGAATAAATGTCATGTTATGCACATACCAGATTTTCCCATCACCAGTTGCAGGAACAAACAGCTGACACTGGCTTGTTGTTCCAGTCCTCTCCTGCAGCCCCTTAGCCATCTCTGTTACACAGACACATTCACTGTCTGTCTCCCCCATTCTCACTCCTTGTCTTTACTCAGTGAAATAACCAGACAGACTGCCCTGAAGGTGTCAAATGAGGAGCAACTGGAATTCAGATTCATTAAAGACCTTCTGATCCATAATGGACTCAGAATAACGAGTATGAAAAGTAGCTGCTTTGGCCAGCTCTGACTGTGGAGATATTTCTGATGGTTTCCTGTCACTAACATGGTTTTGTGTGTTGTATTAGGATGTTCTCAGCAGAATAAACTCACTAAATAAAGGAGAGATGGTGGCTAATTGACTAACAACAGCAGCACTGCTAGCACACTAACCTCTTTAGATTTTACTTGATACATCAAACTAGTGTGTAAGACAGAAACTTAATGTCTTTAAAACCATAGTGAAATAGGAACATAGGACTTGCTATCCTAGAACAGTACAATGGATCGGTTAGTCTAGCAACATTCAGGCTCCAACTCTCGCCCACATATATTGCATGTATCAGAGCAAGGCAAAAGTTGCAATGCACCTTGGCTAATTTGTGCTTTGCTATTCCGGAGCAGGAAATGTCTTTCTGACGCCAGCTCATGATGGGAAACAAGCCATCTGACAAGTCAATAGGAACACCAAATGAGCCTTCTCTCTCACATTCATTATGTTATATCACTCTAGCATATCACCTCTGACTCCTCTTCTCAAAGTAAACAGACAGGGGTTCGCAAATCACTCCTCTTTGTACTGCTGATCATTTCCACTGTCCTTCACTGGGCCTCTTCTGCTCCTGCAGCATCCTCCTGTCTGAGATAAGGTTGCCAAAGCTCAGTGCCCCCTCGGCTGCAAAAGCTAATGATCAGAACTCACCCTTTCATTTCTTATGGGATGGTGGGGATGGGTCCATAACTCGCTATTAAGGGAAGCGTGATAAAATACTGACATCATCAGCCAGCCGTCACTTTCTGTATCTTAAATGTAGCAGGTGGTTTGTTTTGTAGAAAAAAAAGCAGGTTTCTGACTGATTCAAAATGATAGTAACACGTCAGTCATCCTATCGATTTATGCACTAAAACTTGAATTGAGTTATTGAATTTTAGCGACTAGCATTCAGTAGAGGAAATCCTGGGCCAAAGTCAGGTTTGACGTACTAATGTAAATGTAATGCAAACACTGAAGTCGATGGTGCTACTCCAGATTTATGTAATTAAAACTGAGAGCAAAATTGGGCCCCTCTGTAGTTACATAGGTAGATTGGTTTAAAAATCAATATTTTTCTCCTTTTCGTCCCCACAGACCTAAATCCCTTTAACAAATCACCACCACAAGAAGGGAAGAACCAAATGTTTAACTCTCCCTGCCCTCTTTAGTACTTTTAACATAGCTTTCTAAGGGGCATGGGGACTGAGGTCTGGTCATTAGGATGTACGGCCTTTCATGGGCAATAGGATTTAGAGAGAGTTCACATACTTGCTAGGTGAGTGAAGACTGTTGCCAACTGTCCAGTGACCTATGGGAGTGGTTTGAGTTCCTAGCGGAGAGAAGAAAATTTACATCATAACCCACTGCCATAATGCAGGTAATTGGCACTCTGGTTGGCAGGTGATTGGAAGCAAAGATGATTGGGATTGAAGGGGCATGGCTGCTGAATTGCCATCACATCCCTCAGGGCAATGACTGTAGGTCAGGGCTGAGGCACATTCATGAGGCGACACAGGGAGGCTGGTGAGCATGTTGGGAGAGTATAAAAAGTAGCACTTCATGTAATATCTCAGGTATAAAACACTGCAGCTCTTTTCTCCAGCACAAGATTACTGCTCAATTTATTTCATTTAGTATATTTACAGAGCTCCCAATAGTGTGAGAGATGCTTTACACACACACATTTTTCCAGGCAGGAAACATTATGATTGAATTAAGGTTGCGTGTACATCAGGAACCGACCATTAAAATCCTTATAAGAATGTTCTAATGAGTGGGGGGGGGAAATCAAAAGCAGGAGATTGAGAGTTATGGTTACTATTACAACCAGGATCAGGGCCTAGCTAAGCAACATGCCAGCCAAACAAAGGAAGTCATGCGCAGTTATTTGTTCCCCAATTCTTTCATTTTTAGTTTTACTTTTTCTAAAGAGAACATGACAAAGAAAAACAGGTTTAAGGGAATACGTTGGGGAAGCCGCACGCCACTCAAGAAACTTCTTGTGTAATTCCTTCCTGTTTTGCAGGATAAAAAGAGCTGAGCCTCCTCCACATACATATTTTATGTTGCATTAGTGGTAGCAGCAGCAGACGCAATCCTTGCACTAATATATTGCTGGAGTGGAAAAGGGTCAGCTGATCAGGCATGTTTTTGAGTTAAAGCAAACCCACTTATTTTTCCTCTTGCAGGTTTTGTTCAAACTTCTCCTGGGCAGCGCTAAATTTGGAGAAGCCGCCTTATTCTTGTCTGTGTTAAGTGTCTTCAATGTCCTTTTCATCACCTGTATTCCTGTCATTCTGTACTTTACCAAAGTGGAATACTGGAGCTCTTTTGATGTTATTCCTTGGGGGAACCTTTGTGGATTTTCAATTCTCTTATTGAGTAAGTAAATGCTGTAAGTTCGTAACACTCTCTGATGGGAGCGGTAGCCAGAGGCCACACACCCCCATGGAAGTTTAGATTTTTCTGAAATGGTGTAGATTTTTATTTTTTTCTGCTCCCAAAGTTTAGCTTGAGACATCATCTGGAGGGCCCATTGCACAGCTACAAATGTAGGGCCGGTTCCTGTGATTTCTGTTGGGAATAATGCTTACTGCCATGGAGCGTCCCATTGACGGCCACAGAACTCTTTCCGTAGTAAGCACTGCACTCGGTCGAAAGGGTTTGCAGAATCAGACCCATAAAGTTTGTCCTAATGCATACTCATAAACTCTCCTTCACACAAGTGCAAAATGCCCATGGTTCTAATGGAATACCCACATGTTTGAAGATGCAGGCTTGTCAACTTTCCCAAGCTAACCAGAGCTAGGTCAGTTCAGCCACGGTCTCACCAACTAGCACTGAAGTCAGTGGGACTCTTCCCATTGACTTCAATGGTAGTTAGATTTACTCCCTAAATGCATAGGAACCTCCAAAGACAATCTAGTGTACTGCAGTACTGTTGGTGGTTCAGTAGGTGGCACTCTTTGCTTTAGTTAATGACAAGGCTGTACTGTGCTACTGAAGGAAGAGTTTGTGGATGAGCTGGAAAACAAAAACCCTGACTACATGTGAGCATTAAAGATGCCGTGCCATGTTCTTAGCTCTTTGCTAAATTAGAGGTATTAACCTGGTGCTGTGGCCAGATTCTAATTTGGATAATTACATTCTGCCCGCTAAAATGTGTCAATTGGAAATAGTATTTTCCCCTTGTTCTAGAAGATAGTGTAGTTCTTTGTGCTTTCAAACAGCCGCCATGTTCCACTACAGAAGTGGCTGCATTTTAGTTATTAAGCCAAGGCAATAGTTTAATATGAGCAAAGAGTGCAGAATTTGGACTTTGGTGTCCTTTGAGTTGAAAAGCGCCATATCCATGCAAACAGTCATTTCTAGAATATTTGACCATACATTGTGGGTCAGACTCCCCGCTGGCATATCCTTACTGACTTCAGCGGAGTGAGACCAGGGATGAAGTTGGTTCCCCAACAGCTATTTATTTGTCATAAAAACTCTATTTTAGTCATATGTTCTCTTTTAAAATGAAATGCTGTTTATCAAACAGGTTGAATATCATCAAGGTTAGATTTACAATATGTGCAGCCATCATCTACAGGCAATTGGTATGCAAAAATGCCTAGAAACAAATGCTTTTTTCACCCAGGATTTCCCAAATGAAGACATTAAATTTTAAAATGGGAGGACAGAATGGATAATTGTAGGGAATGGGGACTGTCACGGGGATGTAGTTGTGTTATTGAACACTACTGTGAGATATGGGACGTATTCTGATCTGAATGGCCCCAATCCTGCAATCGGATCCCAGTCAGCAGAGTCCTGTTGAAGTCAGTGGGCCTTCCATAGGCTCAAGGGTCTGCCCAGGCAGATCAGATTGCAGGGTAGGGGCCTTTGGGTACAGGTAACTTCCAGAAATACTAACGGGAGTTACCTGAAGGTTGGGAAAATGGACCATTAAATACTCTTTGTACTGTAAAATAAGCTAAGCTTGGTTTCACAAAAACTGTATCTAAAAATTAAAAGTTGTTTTTCTTTCTTACTTCAGCATTCAATATTCTATTAAATTTTGGAATTGCTATTACATATCCTACCTTGATCTCTCTTGGAATTGTGCTCAGCGTACCTGTCAATGCAAGTAAGAATTTTTAACTTCCTTTTTTATTTTACTATATACACAAAGCCTATTAATGTTTAAACATTCAACAGAACTAAAAACTAAGAGCTTATCAGAGGTGAATAAAATGATGTTTTGTATCCACACACACAAAAAGCAGAGAACAAACTGGTTAAAACAATATAAATTTTCCTGCATTACATATTGTAATATTGTTCTTTAAACTACAGACCTTCCAAAGAAGATAGGATACTGAAAAATAAATTGATTTGAAGTCAGTTATCCTTGTGATTGGATGAAAACTAATAGCTGAAGAAATGTACTGCTAATAGAGTTCTTCACCAGTTCAAGGGAACGTGTCTAATGCTAAACATACTTAGACCAATCCTATTACATTTCAAAATAAAATTCTGAGAAATCACGCTGGGAGGTGTAGAATAGTAACAGGGGTGCTGGAACAATTTTTATAGTGGGGGTGCTGAGAGCCATTGAACCAAACTGTAAACCCTGGATATAATGGAAACACAACAAGTCACGGGGTGCTGCAGTATCCCGCACACCCCTAGCTACAGCACCTATGAACAGTAATAGTTCAGCCTTCGGCAAGTAAAAGATCACTGGTGTTTAACATCCTCAATCATTATGGTAAAGATTAGGCAAGTAGATTTTGGAATGGGCTGGTAAATTTGTAGGACAATTTTGTAAGTCTTCAACCTATAGCCCCTCTCAAGCAAGACTTTCCTGAGAGATAAGGGATAAGCAAGAGCAGCCACAGAAACTAGTGCCTGGCCTGGGAGTTTAAGGGGAGAGCTGGTCAGAAAATGGTATTTTCTGTGAAAAATGTCTCAAGAAATGAAAAAAATTCTGAGTTTTCAACAAAATAACAAAAAAATTTACCAAAAAACTCAAAAATATTTTTGGCTTCTTAAAAAAATATTGAAATTTTTGAATGAAACAAAAAACGTCTGTGCAAATGTTTGCTTTGGGGAAAAAAAAAAAAAAAAAAAAAAAAACACAAAAAAGTTTAAAGAGGAGAATTTCAACCAGCTCTATTTATGGGGCTTTGAAACTCCCTTCCATTAGGCAGTGCAACACCAGCACATAATGGGAGAAGAATTGTCCAAACTAGGAATCCTCTGTCGGCCTCTGCCTCCTTTCTTCTGCAGGAGAATGCGTCTGCCAGCGGGTTTCCCCTCCATTGCCAGGGTTACAAAAGGAAACAGGAAAAACTAAACACTAACTCCCACACCCGTCCCAGGGAAAGGGAGACCATTCCAGCAGCTTTTCTGATTCAGAATCTAGGGGAAACAGAATGTGCCTGTCCGTTGCCTCTCCCCTCTTGGCTCTTCATAGTGGGGAGGGTGGTTGGGAGCACCAGAGTTGTCCTCCAGCTCCTCACTCTGTGCATGCACCCACTCTCTGTCTCTCACATACACTTGTTTAGCTGGCCCTGGGCCTGTAGGGGACATAGGCTCCTTTCAGATACATTTATTCTCTTCCCCATGTCTCAGCACACAAGGTGATGCAGAATCACTTCTTTGCTTACCATCAGCACTCATGAGGCCATACAGTCACCAAGCGTGGTTAGCTCCCCTCTCCTATTATCTACTTTAGCCACAGGCTTGTGCATAGCTTGAGGCAGCTAAAGCACAAAGCTCCTCTCCCCAATGCACAGCTGCGCAGGGGAGAAGAGAAGATGTGAGGTGCCAATGCAGTGACTGCTCATTACTGCCCTGCAGTCTCCTGTACAGCAGAACTGCCCCCGGTCCTCTGCAAGAGCACTTTCAGCAGATACTCAGGAAGAGGAAAAGAATGCATATCCACCACCACTATGCAGCAGGCACTCTGAAGCGAGATTGGGAATGCAATACCTATGAGAGGCTTTGGCATTTCAAACTTAGAAGTAAAAGTAACTTTTAAGGGAAATAAAATTTGAGGCCAAAAACTTTCTAGTGGAAAGTAAGACGTGGTTTTCTCCAGTGAAAAAACAATGTACTCCAACATTATAGTATTGTAATTACAAGAGCTCTTTACTACAATGTGTTGTGCTGCAAAGTTTATTTCATAATACGACAATGTGATATAGCAGTTAGCAGAGGGCCTTGCAAGTTAAGAGCCTTGAGTTCTACTCTAAATTCAGCCACTGACTCACTGTGTGTCCTAGGGCAAGTCACTTGATCTCTGGGGGGGGTCCACAGCTTTCTCATTTCTCTAATGGAGCTAATGCTTACCTGTCTTTGTACGCCACTTTGAGATTTACATAGCACCTTGCAGCAGACAATGTGAAATATTGTTACATGTTCAGCGCAGATCTGTGTGTGCCAGGGTAGCTATATCTTGTCTACCAGGGCTGCACATTCACACACTAGCAGCTCTACCCTAGCATCTTTTGTGCTTCCTCCTGTGGTGCTTCCCAAAAAGCACTGCAGGAATCAGTACAAAGGATTGTGGGTCACAGCCAGGATCTAAGGAGGATGGTCGCAAGTGGCCTAACAAATCTGCCTCAGTAGCAGAAATACAGGGAATAGGATCGGGCTCATACCTCCGCTCCCCCGAACCTCAGACACCTGCTAGTCACCAACTTGAGAGTCACAACCCAGAAGTAAAAAAACCACTATTCTGATTGCTGTGCTTGGAACTAATGAACATGTTGTTTATGCAATGTCCTTTGCCATTTAATCCAAGTGTGAGGCTATTTACACTTAAACAATGAAAGTAAAAGCCTAACCACTTTGCTATAATGAATAATCCAGATAAAAGCACCTCCAGAGCTTCTTAGGATACATCTGTGCTGCAAAAAGGTGTGTTCTTAACTCAGGTTAAAATGACAGTGAAAGCAAGTCAGCTTTTCACACAGGATGGCAGCTTGTGTTCCTCCTCAGGTTCCCCTATAGGTTGAACTCAGGCTGCTAACCCAAATTCAAAGCTGAGTTGCCATGTCTTCATTGCTGTGTTAACCTGAGTTAAGAACACGGTTTATTTATTTATGTATTTATTTGCTTATTTTTCCCCTCAGCAGAGCCAGGTTAGGGAGGTGAACGAGATGCACACCTGAGCTGTGGTGTCAGGAGTCTTTGTAAAGCAAGGATAGGCAGCAGGCCTTGCTATACCTTTAAGTAGCCGCCTGTCAGTACTGGCTAGTGTGCAGGGTGAGAGGTGCAGTGCCACACAGCACCCCTGGCTCTATTTATGGCAAATTCTGGCTGCTCTCTGCCCTTGGTAATCTGGACTCACTGAATGCCCAGGTTAAACTAACAGGGAAAGCTCTAGACCCACAAGTCTGTCGCTAACAGGCTTGTTCTCCAGTGTTTCATGTCCAGAAGTCCACTCGTTCTAAGTGAGCGAGACCCCACCTATCTTAAAAGCCTGCCCTGTGCTGCTTCTCTGCAAGCAATGTACTGCAGAGTGTATGTGTGGGGGTGCGGGGGTGGGGTGAAATGTGCCCCAACGCTGTGTCCCTTTTAATAATATCAGTTCAATGTTTTATACAGTTGTTGATCACTACACGAGTGAAATTGTCTTCAACAGTGTCCGTGTAATTGCCATTGTCATCATTGGCCTGGGCTTCCTCTTATTGCTTCTACCAGAGGAATGGGACGTCTGGTTAATGAAGCTCCTCACCCGCCTCAAAGTGCGGAAGAAGGAAGAGATCCCCGAGGGGAACGGAGACATTGTTTCAGGACTGCAGAGCAAAAGCAGGAGAACTCGCCCTTCCATGTCATCCTTCGCTCATTAATGTTATTTTTATTGAAACTCTGTGATTTACATTGTATGTTATGATTCAAGGGTCTTTTCTTGCGAAGCACATACATCCAGTGTAGTGTACATACCTGTACAGTTTTGATATGATACAGTCTAAGGCATCAAGTTTTGGCATGTCCAATTTGCTTGCACTTTTTTCACATCAGACCTTTCACTTAGAAGTACCACTTTAAAAAAAAAAATCAAAAGAAGAACCTCTCTCCTCTTTTTCAGTGAATGTAATGTATAGTCAAATTATCTTTGCTTATATCATTTTAAAGATCAATTTTCATGAGAAGCAGGGCAGATATTTTGAACATTAGAAACTGAATGACGCATCACACACTGTGATTTAAAATGAGCAGATGCTATGCTACGTCATATGTTTATTTTCTACCAGAGCTATACTCGTAACTTTAAAAGTTTTCAAAAAACCAAAAGCAAATCTTTTGGGGAAGGTGGGAGAGGAGAATAGGAAATTGCTCCGTGAAGATGAGTGCACTTTGTGCCAGGACAAGAGTGAGGTTAAAGTGCTAAAAGGCTTGCACTGAAGTAATACAGGAGAAGCAGTCAAGAGCCCAGTCTCCTTATAATGCACATGACTGCGCTCCACGTTTAAGATCATGCAAGAGAAATACAGTGCCTTCTAGAGTATCCTAGTCTTTATCCGTGTAGAACCAGATCACTCTACAAGTAACTTCTGTCATTTTACAATATAGGGGGCCCCAGTGCTCCTAAAACTCCCATTGAAGTCAACAAGTGCCCACTGTGAGTCACAGACTTCATTGGGAATTTAGGGGACTCAGAGACTGCAAGTTCATGCCCTGTGCACCTGATTCTCTTCTCACTTGCACAGATTTTACCCCCATGTGGAGTTACTCTTGATTTACACTAGTGTGAGTAAGAGGAAAAAACTTTACTTGAAATAAAATTAACAAGGAAGCTGACAGCCAGGTCTAGAGAAACACGGTTCATGATGTACAGTTTGAGCCCAACAAGGTGAATTGCCAGTTGCTTTTACTCTACAGTTGGGAGTTTTAAAAAGAAATGTATGATATTTACATCAAATGTAATGTAACACCTTTTTATGAAACTTGTAAGCACCAGGATGTTTACTTATGCGATTTAGGTTCGCCATTAAATTTCTATCTGTGATAGATCACATGCTATGTAAAAAGGAAAAAAAAGTTATAGTTTACTATTTTTGAAGTTTACATTGTTGCATACAAAATTAAAATGTTATTTTCAACGGTTGCCATAAGCTGATGGTACCTGCTGTCACAGAGGCATACTTTGTGTCAGGCAAGTGTGGCGTTCACTTTGAAACTTTTTAGCAAATGAATTTCAGAGTCCATTATCTGTTTGGCAAAACTAATTAATAAAAGGTTTAAAAAAAATCCTAAGTCAATGACTGCTATGTTTTTTCTTCCCGCCGCGCTCCCCCCAAACATATTAATTTCATTCTTTCTGTTTGAAATACTTTATCAAAAGTGATGAAGGAGGGAGATGAAATACAAAAATATGGCCCCACTCCTGCAAAGGAATCTACAACCACAGAGTCTTACCCCCGATGCAGAGCCCCACTGACTTGGCCTCCAAAGAGATTTGTAAGTGTGGTCTCATACTGCCACCTGGAGTCCCATGGAAGTCAACAAGACTCCCTGTGGGTGTGAGGGGTCATTACTGACTGATTCAAGAGCAGGACCCATAATACACAACTATGGGCCAGGATACTGTATTTAGGCACCAGTCAGAAAAACATAAGCCCAGCAGGAGGAACATAGCAGGGTAAAAGTTGTCCATCCAAAGCCTGACATCTTTGAAACCACCAGGGGCGGTGTTCCATAGGCCCTTTGTGACTCATATTTCTGATTCAGAGCATAGTCCACATTATTATCTACGCACATATCCATATCTCTCGAGACCCTTAAATACCCACTGCTACAGAGATTTTTATGTGCTAATAATAATCTGTGGGGGAGGAAGCCTGACTGGGCAAGCGGGTGTTGCCCCTGGACGGCAGATGGAGCCCCCCTTAGAGGAGGGTAGCTGCCAGCTGTGCCTCTTCTGCCCACAAGCGGCCAGAGCCCCGAGACTCCCCACCCCTCCCGCAGCTGGAGCCATGAGTTCCCGTACTCCTCCCCCTCCCCCCCGGAGAAGTCTCCAGTCCCGTTCCCCCGCCCCCCCGCCACTCCTGGAGGAATCCTGGGCCAGTCTAAACCATGTCATGCCTCCCTTCCCCAAACCCCAAGCCGCTGCAGGGAAAAGCCCCCCAGCAGGCTGCCTTTGGGGGGCTACACAGCTCCTCCCACAACACCTGTCTGGGACCTTTCCCTCACCGATGGGATGCTCAGCATCTTCTTCCTCTGACAACCGTTTCTTTTTACCTGCCCCCTGCCACACTTCAGACACTCCTCAAACTCACGCCATCACACACTCACCCAAGGCCCCTTTGGCTTTAGAAGCGTCTCTGGAGGGCTGCAGCTTCTCAGGCCCATAGACCCTTCCTTTCAATGCTAGGGTGACCAGATGTCCCGATTTTATATGGACAGTCCCAATTTTTGGGTGTTTTTCTTATATAGGCTCCTATTACCCCGCACCGCTGTCCTTATTTTTCACATTTGCTGTCTGGTCACCCCATTCAACGTGCAGTGGCCAGACATTCGAAACAGACGTGTCCAGGATGGCATACATTGCTTCCAGACGTTGACACCCAGGAAGAATTCCTCTTACTTTTTTTCCTGTTGGATTTAGCTGATTGACTTTCCTTCACCAAGCGAAAACTAGGGACCAGCTGCTGGCTCTCTTTGCAAATGGCCACAATCAGGCTAAGCCACTAGGCGCGTCAGGAGATCTGCCACCGAAAAGTGATGCCGTGACTTTGATTTGAGCCGAGGTTGCTGCAGCCATGGCACAGAGTACTACCCACAATAGGACCATGGCCAGCCACAAGGGCCACTGAGCGAGAAAGGTTCAGGTCTGCGCTCTCGGGGCGGCCACCTACCTCAGCTACGGCCACAGGTATTAATCAAGTCTCCCCATTACTGTCACAGTTAAAATGTTAACAAAAGGAAAAGACAGGAGACCAGCCTGCTGCCTGTCCGCTTTTCTCTTTCTCGCCCCTTGACCAGCTGCCCCTCCCCCCCGGTTTGGCTGGGCGATTGTCCTCATGCCCTTGGCCAGAGTATTGCCCTTTGCAACTCTGGAACGTGCCCCGACATGCAGGTCTTGAAGCTGGGCCCAGTCACAGTGGCGGAAGGCGCTGTCGAGGCTTTGGCCAGGGCAAGCAGGCAGGAGTGGTTGTGCGGGCTAATTGTCTCTCTGGAGGTGAAAATTGACAGTTCAGGGTGTGAACAGAAGTTGCCATAGAAGGAGGAGGTGAGGAATGTGCTGGCTGGGCCAGGCATTTCTTTCTCCCCATTCAAAGGGCATTGCTCTCCCTATGGGGGAATCAAACCTGGTCTCCCACGTGATAGGCAGAGATACCCACCACTCTACTAACAAGGAGTAGGCCAGGTTTTTTACTGCATGCAACTCCTTGAGACCAGCTATGGCCAGCTTATGCCACACCACAGGCCCCACCCTGGCAACAACTTCTCTTCTCCTTCCTGAAGGCTGCAGCAACAGCCCTGGGAAAAGCCCTGTCCCTCCTCACATGCGGTTGCCTCTCACTCATAGAAGCTTTTAATATGCGCCATGCAGGTTCTGGGGCCCCTGAGGAGGTGGTATTTGCTACTCACCTTCCTAGGTCCACCAGTAATCGCTCTGGAGTCCAGAGAGATTACTGATGAACCCAGGAAGCTGAATAGCACATACTGCCTCCTCAGTTGCCCCGGAACCTGCCTTGGGCATAATAAAGCAAAAACTTCCCCCCTCATCCCCCCAAAGCCCTGCAACTGGGGGTCCGGCAGCAGCAGCACCAGGGAGGCAGGGCCGCCCCTGGCCTATTATACCCACCACCCATGGTGTTGCCACAGTATAACATTAACATACCTGATCTTTTCACCCTCTTTTTGGTGAGGAGGGGATCACCCAGCTCGCCCAAAACACAGACCCTACAATCATTGCAGTCATTTCTGTGGAGCATTTACAAACCTACTCTTTCCTCTTCCAAATTAAAAATTCTTGCATCTCGTGGTTTATCAGGGTTTGCTGCTTTCACATAGCCGCCCCAGAGTCCTGGCGGGAACAATTCCAAAGACGATGTACTACCCTTTAATTGCTGTGTTTTATTGTACAGTGAGTCCAATATGTTCAACCAGGCATCCCACAGGATCAGAACCATTTTAATATCAGCTTCTTAATACATTTTACTAATAACCAATGTATATTAAGGCCTTAAATGCCAGTATATTGCTTAAAACTAGGAAGTTTGCACCTGGTTCTGCAGCATCAGTAAGACTTTGTGATACAGTGAAATTTTAATAATAAATACACTAGGTTTATAAAATCCTTCCCAAAACTGACTAAAAGAGGACAAGACACGTGATTTATACAGAGTAAATTATAGCTGTTCCAAGTAGAGACTGGGCAAACCAGCTCACTGCCTTTGGGTAATGCCAAATTAGGGCTAGCCAAATTGGTTGAAGGACGCAATAAGACCCAACCTAAATTTCTTCATGCACCACCCTAAGATGAGCACCTGATGAAGACCGAACCCTGGATGGGACTTGAAGTGTCAAAGGGGGTGTGTGTTTTAAATTATATCTAGGCCTCTCTGTAGAGCTGGGGGTTGAGGAGTAGGCTGAGAAAAAGTCAGGAAGGAATGGGAATAATTAGCTCCGGCCCAAAGGGATCAGTTGTAGAGCACATTGTACTGGGAAGAGCGCATGAAGCGATCAAGCTGCCATGCTGAGGAGGACATTGTGTGCTGTCTGAAAGAGGTGCACACAGAACTCACAGCCCAGGGAGTGTGTGTTGGCAGGAGATGCTGTGTTGGCGCACACACACACACACACCCCCTTGCTATCGCCTATCTACTGCAGGGCTGACACAGGTAGAATCCTCCCAGAGCAGGAACTGGTGCTTTTAGATCACTGGTGCTCAGGGCCGGCTCTGGCTTTTTTGCCGCCCCAGGCAAAAAAGCCTCCGGCCGCCCCCCCGCCCTGTGGGGGGGGGGGGGGGCGGCCGGAGCCCTGGGAGGAGGGCGGCGAGCCCCGGCCGGGGCTCTGCTCTCCCCCTGGCGGTGGGGGGGAGGGCAGCCAGAGCACCGTGGGGGAGGGCAGTGAGCCCGGCTGTGGCCCTGCTCTCCCCGGCGGCCGGAGCGCCACGCTGCCCCCCTCCAGGTGCCGCCCCAAGCACAAGCTTGGTGGGCTGGTGCCTGGAGCCGGCCCTGCTGGTGCTAAATGCATGAGATTCTACTGAGTGATTTAAACGCCATATGGCTGTTAGAGAGATTAATGAGTCTGCTACAGCCTGAGCTAAGTGGGGACAGAGCACCACACACCCAGGAGGTGTGGGGGTTACACATACACAGAAGGCAGAACAACATTTGTTACATTGCTGTACAGCGTAGCCACACCTGCTGTCTCCTTATTTGCTGCCCCTACTTTCTGTGCTTTAAGATGCATGACCTTGAGGGCTATGATTGGGTAACGGGTCCTGTGAGAGGCAAGGCCCCAGGTCTGCAGCCGACCCAAAGAAAGCACTGAATGATCTACAGCAGCGATTCTCAATTAGCATACAGCTGCGGCCCAGCTCAGCTATGTGCTAAAGGCCGTGGGCTCCAGGCTTCCCGGCTGCCTTGCCGCACGGTGGGCTCTGGGCTGCCCTGCCACCCAGGGGGCTCTGGGTTCCAGCTTCCCTGCTGCCCGGCGGGCTCTGGGCTCCCACCTGGTCCCACACAGCAGGGTCCTGGAGCTGGGGTCCTGGCTGCCTCACATGGTGGGGGTCGGGGGTCCCTGCACAGCAGGGTCTGGGGTTGGGGTCCCTGCCCGCCTCACATGGTGGGGGTCGGGGGTCCCTGCACAGCAGGGTCTGGGGTTGGGGTCCCTGCCCCTCGGCCCACGCCCAGCTCTCTGCTCCTGGCCCCACTCTGTGGAGGGGTCTCTGGGCGGAGGGTGCTGAACATAGGGGTTTGTCAGGGGAGGTTATGTAGGGGGCACTGGGGTTCTCAGCCTGTGGCCCAGGTAATACTTTGGCCGCATATGCAGCCCACAATGATAAATAGGTTGAGAACCACTGATCTACAGTGACCAGCTATAAGAAATGACAAAAAGGTTATGTGAGATGGAATTGAAAAGTTGGCTACAGAGGGGAGGCCAGGCAGCAGAGCCTCCAAGCCCAGGCCTAGGGAATTGGGACCAGAAGAAACAACAACCTGGAAAAGGGGACCACTGCTGCACTAT